TGTCGACATCTGCCCAACAAAAGACGAGAAAATATTCAACAACACACACTCAAAACTCTTAGGAGTGGTTACAATTTGAAGAAATGTGATGGGGGGTATTATAAAAAGAACGTTTATTCCCCTAGTCCTGGAAGCCTCTAACCTAGGCCTAGGATGTTTTTTTTTTTTTTTTTTTTTTGACTCTGAGACTTACTACTTAATAAGCTCACCCTTTCTTAATCTTACTGAGCTCTAGGCTGCTTGGTTCAACTCAGCTGTTCTGGCTCAAACTTATTGACTTATTCAATCTGGCTTTTCTCTCAGCCTCTGAATTGCTCTACTTGGCCTCAAACTAACTCAAGCAATCTGGTTTAATCCTCTGACTCCTAATTCTCTGGCTCGATCTGCCTTTACCTGTGTCTAGCTTGTTCTCTCATTCAACCTCTTTCTGTAAAATTCTTCCGGTATAACCACTTTCTCTGTCTTTCTGCATTGCCCCTTTCTTCTCTTTTCTTATGAGAATTGGTTGTATCCTATTCTGTCAAACATTTCTCTGATTTGTCACTTTTTCTGCCTGTCAATTAGATATCACTTTCAAACATGGGTGCTTCTTTTTACAAACTAACTGTATCTTCATTAGGGATTAATGAATCCTGCACCTAAGCTTTTCTTTACCTGAAACTTGCTCTATACCAGGCTGGCCTTGAACTCAGATCTGCTTGCCTGTTTCCTCGATTAAAGGCATGTTTGTATTCGAGCCAGATCACACAGACCTAGAAGGTCTTCCAATGTGATCTCTTGCCAGAGCAGCCATGTTCGGAATTAAAAACCTTCTACTGGGAATAACAAAAGTTTGAGTCCAGAGTTCTCCGTCATTTGACAAGGAGAGCCCAGCACACTTATCTAGAGTATGATACTTATTCTAATCGAAAAACAAAACAGAAAAAGAGACCCTCTGTTCCCATAGTGAAAGTGGGAAGGAATGCCAGCCAGCTGTAAAGACCACCCCCATTGCACAGGCTAGTGCAACAGAGGTAGAGAGAGTGATGACTGAGGAAAATGCTCAGGCCTGAAATACCGCCTGGAGGCCTCTTGTTATGTTAAGCTAAAGAGAAAGGATATTTAAGGCATCACTCATACGTGCTGATGCGTTTAGTTTCTTTCTTGTGTGCCTCACTCACGTCTCAGTGCTGCCCTTCGACTTTCTGATTCAGGAGGGTACACGCTTTTCTGAAGATGAGGAATTGCATATTAAAAACAACAATGAAAAACAGAGAACAAACAAAACACACAGAAACTGCTATGAGGATAGAGACGAAAAGGGCATGAGGTCGTTAGGTAGAAAGGAGAAGGATGGGATGGGTCAGGCAGCAATGAAGAACAGACGCCACAGACATGGAGATACTGGTTCACACTTCCTGTAAATCCAACAGGCTTCTTCCCGGACTCTTTATCCAGCTTGGCCTCCTCTGTGTTCTCAAACATTTCTGTCACCCTGCCTCTCAGGGGATTCGCACTTGCTCTTCCCATCTGTCTGGAATGGCCTTTTCTTAGAGTTTCCAAATTTCAATTTGTTCTCATTCTTTGGTTCTTAAATGACACTGTCCCTGATGACCTTACTAAAGCACATTTCCTGTCATAATTATCTCCTCATTCTCTTTTCTATTTAGTCTCTTTCCTTT